CTCCGGATGACGAAGATGATGATGTTGTTGGTGATAATGATACTGAGGTTCTTGATTGGATTGAGGATGAAGGTGGCGATGGAGATGCTGAATTTGATGGCGATGACGATGAGAATGAAGAAGACGACGAAGAAGAGGAGGAGGAAATTGATGATTTTGATGTTGACGAAGACCAAAATCTAGTTACGGACATGGAAGAAAGCGAAGATGGTAAATTTCACGCGATGGAAGATGACGAGAAGAACTGGAAGGAGTTTCGAAAATCAACAAATAGTGCAGAGGCAATAGAAAACATGGCAAGAAAGAGCGTCGAGCTCTCTACAAAGTTATATAAGAAACAAATGATGACGGCAGAGAAGGTAGAGGAAGAAACAATGCATGATTCAGTAGATGGCGACGAAACCGCCTTGAGAGGAAAGCGAGCAAAGGTCAGTCCAGAAGAGTGGAAGTATGTTGGGCTCGGTCCGTGGAGAAAAAAGATCAAGAAGAGCAAACTTCCTCCGGAGCAATTTCTGCGAGCAGCGATTCGACCTTTCACTTACAGAAATCTTGTTAAAGAGATTGTTTTAACTAGGCATGCAATTTTGGATGGCGATATAGGTAAGAAAGAGTAAGGATTTTATGTAGGAGTGATGTTGAGAAAGTTAGTAGAATGAATCATTGTCCTTGCTTTTGTGTAAGGATTATTTTTGTGCTTACCAAGTTTCTGGAAAAGATTATGACAGCATACAACTTCAATTATTTATACATGTTCTTCTGTGTTTTCAAAAGGTTTTGATGTTAGTAACATTTCTCACTGTGTCTCATTGAATCTAAATTACACATGAATGAGGTTTTAAATGAGCCATAGAGAACTATATTTTCCAACAAAATTTCGTTGGAATATACTTCTTCTGAAGAAGAAAAATGTAATCGAAATAAATAGAGGGCGGTGGTTTAACAACCTAGGGGAGGGGTGGAGAAAGAAACTCTAAAATGTTGAGGTGGTTATAAATCGGTTCTAGAAGAAGAAATCAACTATCAACACTTCAAAAAAACATTGACCAAACTTACCAATTTGCCCTTTCCTTAAATTAAATTTACACTAGCAAAAGGGCAAAAGAGTAATCAACTAAATGTCAAATTAAATCTAACCCAACACTCTCTTCTCTTGCCAAATGTCATTCATCTATTCCATCACTCTTTTCAATTTCAAAATCCTCTTCCATCGTCCCACACTTTTTCCTCTCCCTGTCCCATTTTCTCTCATCTCTCTATCAACCCTTCAAAACCCTACATGCTGCCGCCCCTCCCCCACCCTCGTCTTCGTTTTTCCTTCCACTTTTCAATGTTGAACTCCGATGGGTATATGAAGATTCACAAAAGTACTGTTATGTGCGAACATGTATTATGGCTATGAGCAGTTCACGAAGCACACCGCATATCTATTGAAGACACCAAAACCGCAGATGATACGATGGGTAAGGAAAGTAGATCTTGTGACAGCTAGGGTTTTATATTCAAGGTGAGTATTTGTATCCTTTGTATTTATATTTTAAGGATTTTATGTGTTATTCATCATTTGCATGAGTTTGGTTACAAGGTATGTTGATATTTTTCGATTTCTTTGTGAGTTGTATTTAAATGAACAATCTTCTATTTCTAACAATAAATCTTGATGTAAACATTTGCGTAAATAAATGTGTTTGTTGTGACGTTGAGTTATAAGTAAAACAAGTTATTATGTGTTGTTTATAGTTTGCGATGCATAGCTCTAGAATCTTTGATAGAAACTTAGGTTTACGAGACATTTGATTGTAACAAATTGTTTATCGGTTTGCACGATTTATTCGTTCTCTTTAGCTGCTATGAAGAAGTGGTTTGGTAAGAGTTTAATGGTTTAGGAAATTGTGTGTTTATGACAGGTTCTTGAGATTTTGAGTCATGTTAACAAGAGATTGAAGCTTCAGTTTGATATTGGTTTGCCTTTGACTGAGTTGTGGAAATTGTATTCGGAACTTGGTGTTGCTCCGATGATAAGGAATTTTTGCATTGTCTATATAGAGATGGCTTTTCAACGTGTTGATGCAAAGGTTTTTCAATCATTATTATTGTTGATGCAAAGGTTTTTCAATCATTATTATTTCTTAGTTTCTGTTTGTTACTTTGTTATTAATGTTACTGTTATGTGGTTATAATGTGAATATTGAAACTGATAATTTAAGCACTTGGTTAAAAATTGATAGTATGGCTGGGCTCTTTTGAAGCTTATTTTCTTCTTTTAATAAACTAAGCATGTACACACACATTCACTTTTCCTTATTGAATGCTTATCATGGAGCTTGTGGAGACAATCTAATGATCATGCATTTTGATTAGGTAAAGGAAGGTTTGGCACCTGAACTCTTGATGAACATCTCAAAACTTCATGTTCAACACCAGGAAATTATCCTTAGAATCATTGTTAAGGTATCAACCTTTCCGAATATTTATGTTATATTGCTAAATGTTGTACACACGACTTTGTTAGATACTGAATACTTCTGATTTTGAGTTTTTGCAAGTGGGACTATGAGGACAATGTCTGGTATTGACTTTGGTCATTTATTCCTTTTTTGGTCAATGATTTTATTTATCTATATTATATTCGGTAATAAATTAAGCAGGGCTTACATACCTTTCTCTTTCATGCTTAACAGATTGTTGACAGCTGTTTTGTATCATCTTTGAAGCATCATTGCTATGTTGGAAAAAAATGGGAATCTGAAGATAGCCAATGTTGGTGATTGTGGATTAAGAGTTATCCGTAATGGTAATATGTTGTGTTAAAAAAGGAGACATAATCGCCACTACTCAAGAACATACCTTTGACTGTAACTTTTTCTCCAGGTAATGTAACTTTTTCCAGGTAATGTAACTTTTTCTAGGTAATGTAACTTTCTCCAGGTAATGTAACTTTTTCTACTTCTCCGCAAGAACATTACTTTGACTGTCCATTCCAACTATGCTCTGAGGGGGCTATCCAAACATACCTTGATGCAATGGTAACGTTTAACAATCGCCACTACTCTTTCTGGTATTTGTGTTTAAATAGCTTACTTGACTTGGCTGAAGGCCAACATATGTGTTACCATATTGAGTGTAAAATAAATACACAATTTCTCAAAGGGGATAACTCGGATTTCACACCTGCGATAAATGCAATTCTATTATATTTTCGTTTATTAACCTCGACACGAAAAACAGGTAAGTAATGTGGAGTTGATGGAAGGAGACATAATCGTCATGGGATCTGATGGGCTCTATGATAACGTTTTTTACCATGAAATTGCTCTAACTGTCGGTAGATACCAAGATGTTTCTGAGGCTGGTATTGTCTTCCTTCTTGATTTAGTCAGTTTGAGGAACTTAGATTGACCGTAGGACTTTCACTGATTCACAATTCATTTTGTTGCTAGCAAAGGCATTAGCTAACTTGGCAAGCAGTCATGCAAGGGATTCAAATTTTGATTCTCCATATTCATTGGAGGCCAGATCCAAGGTAAAGAAATAAGTTTATAACTTGACTTCATTTGTTTAATAAAAAGAGATTATATAAAACGATGCATTAGTTTATAATTATTGATTTGTTTTAGAAAACAACTGATACATATGGAATTCATATTCTCTGCTTCAAAATAGTTGCAGTCATTGATCAAGTTGACAGTTACACAAATGACTAAAATATATTGTCTGTAAGAAACACCAGAGAAATTGAAAACACATTCTAGATTTTTGTGCGTGCATAAAATAGATGGACAAATAAAAAGGCAAAACAGTTATATTAACTGTCTTTTTATTTTTTGATGCATTGTTAACAATTTTCCAGGGTTTTGAAGCTCCGTTGTGGAAGAAGATTCTTGGAATGAAGCTGACAGGTGTGGCATAGAGATTCTTGCCACTGTATACCATAGCTGTTTCTGTACCACACCTCATTGCAAGTGCAAACTGGATACTTAGAGAACTAGGCTCCTGTTTACCAGAGGTAAGTCACTTAATCTAGCTATCACAACTCAAGCAAATTCTGTTTCATATGAAGTTACAATATATTTCATGTATCCTGTGTGATATAGTCGCGAAAACATTCTGAGGTGATTCAATCTTGGTTTCTAACCTTGTGTGTCATTCTAGGAGATGAGTGCTGATGTATATTCTCAATTGCTTATGGCATTGGTTATGCCATAGTTTTTGGTGTCTCCAGTGATGCATTACATATTTCTTAGTTATTTTCAGAGGCTGAATATGCCACTCGCACATCATGTTGTGGTAACACAATTACTACTTTTGATCTGAGTTTGTATCTGCAATAGGTGGTTGAGCGTGGAATCGCTACTTTGGCAGTTATGGGTCAGACATGGGAAGACTCTAGGCCTGAAGTATCTGAATCAAATGATTTGCAAGAAAAATGGGCTGCAGATCAGGCGGCAATTGGGAGAGCTTTTGCTGCACTGTTGCAGCAGGTTTGGCTAGCACCTTTGTCCACACAGGTTAGTTTGAGGGCCTGGCTAAATTTGATTTTCTCAGGAGTATTATTCTGGAGGAAAATCCTATTAGAGAGTTTGAATGGGTTTCTTGAAACAATAGCTGTGATGATTTCACTTGTAAGGTGGAATTCATTCTCTTTTTGAAATTCCTCAATTGTTTTACAGTTGCCGTGACAATAAAATGTCCCGACTGCATGCACTTCTAATTTAGATCCTATTTGATGTACAATCAGACTGGCTGTGCTGATTAGTCTTTTTGCTTTCAGATATTAGCTGCTTGCCTTTAATTTAATCATACATTATATTCATATGAAATATTTTCAATGTCAATTTATTTGAAGTGTTTTCTGAATTTTATAAGGATCAACAAGACCAGAATTCTCCGACTTCATCATGCATAGAAGATTTGTCAACTTTGCTATGATCTATCATACTTTCTATTGATTCAAGAGCTGAAAGTGTCAGAGCTGCTGCCAGTTTGGGCTGAAAGTGTCAGAGATGGACCATAGTTGTACATGGTTGAACCTTCTGGTATGAGTCTACTTTATTTGATAGAAATATCTAGACTTCTCATTGTTTGCCTGAGCTACTAATAATTTTTTTGAAGTTCCATGTGATTATTTTTGTACTGATCTATTTGTATTGGTATTTGTTTTAGAGGTACTTCAGTGTTGCAATTGGAAAGGACAGGCATGCTATGAAAACGTAAGTTGACAATTAATACAATTTTGTATTTCAATATTGAACTGAAAAACTATTGTGGTTTTCTTTTCATTACTGCGAATGATAGGGACATCATATTCTTATTGCTTTACTTGAATCCTTTGCTTCCTGTAAATTCTATATATTTTCGATAAAACATATTCATTGGTGCTACTTTATACCGAATTTTTTTGAGACCATATGTGGTATTGGTGGTGCGAGTGTGTTAAAATAAATATCGATTAAAGAGAACCTCTGTTTTTAATATTTCTGAGTTGATTTAGTTTCTTTACTAGCAAGCAATTTGAAAAATACTTAATACGAATGTTTTAAAAGATCAGTAAATACACAAATGTTGTAAGTTTGGCACTTTTGAATTGAATAGTGAATTTAAATATGGCAATAAAAGTTGTATTGCAAGTTTAATTTAAATATATTCATGTCCTTAATGTACAGTTTATTTACTGTATGACAGGAGAAGGATGCAAGGGACATTGAGATACCAAATATTAGAGCTGATGATGAGGTCTAATCATATGCTTTATGAAAGTTATGTTGTAAAAGCTTTTAATGATTTGCAGGCAACTTAAATTTCATTGTTTAATCTTTGTCCAGATTTATATATACTGGATCAGTTGATCTCATTGTTGAAATTGCTCAAGATCTCCTCCGAGCAGCTGATCAGTATATGGAACAGGGACTAGCAAATGGTTTTCTCAACATTTAAAGAAAAGTAATAAGCTTGGTTCTTATTCCCTTCTATTCATCTTGCTTGCTTTCATTTTGACCAATATGATCATAGGCTGCAGTCTTATACATAGTTGTATAGATAGATTAACGGTAGACACCAACCTTCGCTTTGAAATAAGCTGGATAATCAAGTTTTAGTTGGTCAGTTTCATTTTTGAAGAGGACTTTTAGTTGATAGGTTAAAGCAGTTGTTTGGAGCATGGTTGCTTCCATATACTTGAAATGATAACTGAAGTTCACATTAATGCTGCATTAGTTCTTAATTATCTTTTGATTTGTGCGTTTTTTAAATATCTAAATTCTGTTTGCAGACACACTGATTTGAATCAGCGCACAATACCAGAGATCCGCAATTACTTTGTTAAAGCTCTTACGAAGGGGAACTCCAACATCCAGGCATAGTAGGTTGACATCTAACAAATTGCAATGTGTACATAATATGGTAGATGTTATTGATTATTATTTAAAGTGTGAGGGAGGCCTCCTGGACTCAGATCTGCGTGGTTTTGAAGACACCAGGTGGTGTCTGTTCTTTTTTGATGTTTGTAACACCGTTGTCGTAAATGTAGTAGTATACATGACCTTCACGAACATTAATTTTTTTCCTCATGCAATATTGTGATGGTTATGAATTGATAGTTCTCTATCTCAATGGATTATGCATTACAGTTGAGTTTATGATTATGTTACAGAGTACCCAACCATTTCATTTATATTTCACGTTACAAGAAAGTTGTTTTCATGGGCTGTGTATGTCAAATTTTTTAGTTTTTGCTTTTACATAAAAGTTGTAAACTAGTGTTACACCATAAAACTAAACTAAGATGGAGAGTTTTTTGGTAAAGTCTCGAGTGAGATAAGGGTGTCTGGAAAAGATAATAGTTTAACTACACTCATGATGTAGAATTAGTTGAGTTGTTGAACTACACTCTTGCTCAAGATTAAAAAGTTGCAAATCTACTAATTCTTAGTACAAGATATCTCCCTCTCTCTCTTGGATGCATATGGCTGGCACGAGAGCAAGCACACTTATGACTCTCGTATATGATGGATACATTACACTTATATACAAAATTCCTCACTCTTCAGTGTTTCATGTTTTAGAATAGGATTTTACTGGTAGGAAGAAAATATAATTTAGAGTGCTCAAGAAAATAATTTATGTGTAGAATGGTTAGTGAGTTGTGGTCATATGTCATAATTTTTAACACGTATATAAATTCTTTAAAAATTCTCATTTAAATAAAATATCAATTTTCTAAATCTTAAAAGAAAGAAAAAAAACATATTTTGTTTTTTTTCCTTTCTCCATCTTCTCATGAATCACTTTTTTATATGATTATCTAATATAATTAAAAATTTAAGATTATTATTCATTTTATGATAAAATAATTTATTTTAAATTTAAATATACATTTGAATATATTTTATATTAAATCAAATAAATTCACCCGTGCGGGAGCACCGCACAGGTATCTTACTAGTTAAAAGGATTAAATTTAAGATGGTTATAATTCGGTTCTAAAAGAAGAAATTAAAAGGATGAAATTTAAGATGAGAAACACAATTAGTCTTTTGTTATCAAATCCTCTTAATTTTAATTGTTGATGAACTATGTCTCTATTACGATTTAATTAAGTTATTGTCTCATTGTAAATTAGCAAAACCACGGCATAATTTACTAATTTTTACGATAATCTTCTAACTTTTTTAGGTCAATTCAAAGTTAAATAGGTGTTTTAAGTGCGTTAATTTATAAGCAATAACTTTTAATTATTTATTCCTAATTAATTATAAAGTTGAATAGATTGCCTAGTAAAGATAATTAGACTAACGATCAGATAAACGACAAAAAACATTAAACACAAGAACAATTTAAATAAGATAATATACTCAACAAATATCAAACAAACATACGATCCAACAGCGTAACAATAAGGTTCATCTCAAAATGACCTAATTTAGAGAAACTTAGCTAATCATTGATCGATTAACAAATACAATGAGTGGAGAAGTATTCATTATCAAAATCTATGGAAGAATTACTCTCAAATAACTTCAATGTGCTCCAAAATCGTCCATTGAAAGTCCTTAGTCGTAAATTTCCCTAAATTCAGAACCCTTAAAAAGTAGGCAAACAAACATTTAAATAGAAAAAAACATGTCAGCCAAAAAGTGTATCACCATGCCGCGATGCAAGACTCATCGCGGACGTGAGAATTCCAGACCCAAATCGTTTGTTTTCTTCCCTTTTTCTTCACAAATTTCACTAAGTCTTTTTTTCTTCCTTACATTGTCTTTTTCTCAACTCTTCACACTTTTACATGTCATTTGGTCATGATTCATTTGAATTTATCTAATTTTCCTCATAAAAATCACGCAATGACGACTGTCATCACAATCCCAAACTTGAACTATTGCTTGTCCTCAATTAATTTGTCAGCACACTAGACATTTCATCAGAATTAAACTGCTTACCTTTATCAATGAATGTCACCTTTTTATAATCAACACTTTGATTCCCTATTTCGATCCAATCAACTCGAAAAAGTTCTCCCGACATACAAATACTTAACATGTCTCTCCTCTCACGATTATGCACTCAATTTGACAACATAATCACTCAATCAACATACAAAAGCCTTTAACCATGGATTTGAAAATTTTCTAATCGAATCAATGAAAGTCATATTTAAATAGACACTTTGAGGTCTTTTACAGGTTGTAACGCGACTTATGTCAGGGTAGGATAATTTAGGATAATAAGCTTAAACCTTTGGAGTTAGGTACCTAGTTTTTCCGATGTTATCGAATTCCTTTCATATCACTCTTTTGCAATTCACTTGGTACTAGAGAATTGCATATTGTTGGTCATATTTTTCACAATTTTTTATTTATTTTTGAAGAAGCATTTTACTTCTTGTTTTTTTACCAATCTCTATAGTACCCCAACCCCAAACTTACACGCTGCTAGCTTCCAAGAGAAACTCCAAGCTTATTATTTTGCATCGAACAAGTAAAACAACCATTTCTACCTAAATAGAAAGAGGGTGATAAGAATTTATCTTACAAGTCAATGACTATATAATATGGTTATGTCACCGAAAGAAGGGCTAAGGTTCAAAGTCGTTAAATAACATATATTATCATATTAGAACAAGGTGGCTTAAAAAAGCTCAAAGTTTTTCACAAACAACTGGCTCAGTGTGTATTTATCAAACCAATATACTAAAAATATAAATAAATAAAAAATACAAATTTCGGAAAATGACTAATGCATGGATAATCTCATATGAAGGAAAAATAAACAGTGGAAAATATTTGGCTCAAACCTTACTAGCCGAGGTATGTGTACATTGAATACAAGGGGTCGGTTTCCCTTTTCTTTATCAACCTCAATCTGCAAGAGAATTTCACTGTTGATCTCTTTTGTTCATTCTTTTTCTGGTAACTTTTCTTTTCTTTTTCATGATGACACTGATAAAGTAGCAAATTAAAAACTGAAAGAAAAGCAAGAACAAATAAGTTCATTACTTTCAAGCAAAGAAAAGTACAAGAGGAAAATCTTCTAATGATCTAGCTAGTACTCTTCTTTAGATCATAGTACAAAAGAGAAAATAAAAATAAAAACTAAAATTGAAAAACTCCTAAGTCACTTGTTGTTGAAGTTGAAGTAGCTGGTGAGATCTTGAACATCATCATGAAATTGCTAATTATGTCTGGCCCATGGAGTCTTCATTTCAGTTCTCATATTATGTAAGGCTTGACCTTTATCATTAAAGTCTCCATATAAACAGATGTGAGAAAGCACTTTTGCAAGTTCTGGATCTGCATGTGCTCTCTCTGATGCTCATGGAAGGTTTGGAAACTGGTTCCAAATCTTGGTGGGTTAGCATAAAAGTTGAGCGAAATTTCATTTTTCCAACTCGTCATGCTTATTGCGTAGTCCTCAAGCCTTTGCAAGGGGTCTGACTCTTGCTACCGATGTTGGGCTCCTTCTGGTTGGTTGATTTTATAACAGTAGACCTTTGGACCTTCTTTTTGATCTTCTTCCTATGTTAGGGCTGTTGGAATTTTTCTCATAGTACTTTTGTTGATTGGCATCATTGGACTGATCATCACATCATCAAGTTGGGCCTGCACTCTAGCTAACCTACATAACTCATTAATAACACACATATGTGCACATGTTCTTTGTGGAGTGTCAACCATATATTTGATGTTGTTCACAATCAATAATTCAACATCAATTGGTTCATCGTTCAAAATTTTCATCAGCGTATGACACCTGTTCATAATAAACTCACTTTGGTTAGAAGCAACCTCTAAGTTTAGACAATAAATGATGCCTAAGCTCTAGGTATCAGACACATATCTTTATAACGATATATCAGCATATTTCCTTAAATAATTACCCAACGAGACCTAAGGTGACCAAATTCAACCAACATTCTCTCCCTAATTCTCTCAGTTAAGAAAAGACCTGTCATATTTTTAACATAGAACCTAGGAGGAGTTTGAAGATGGAACAGAGAATTAATTCTAGCAGGACTATATTTAATACTCTTACCTCTCACATATGATGTGTAATCTTTGAATGGACGATGAACGGAGTTAGCCTAAAACTCGAGCCCAATAGATTGGCTGGCCTCTTTGATTAAACTATTGAATCAAGACCAACATCTTCTTATAACAATAACCAAATCCACATAACCTTCCAAGTTGTCAACTTCAAAAAATCTCTCATTTACTACACTGTAGTTTTGAGATGCATTCCATTTTTCTTGGTGTTTTTTAGAAGTAAACACATAAGTAGAAAATTATGGGGTGTTAGGAGCAGGTGGGTTAGATGATGTAGCAACTTGAGTTTGGTGGATTCTCTTGAGTTCCATCTCGACAAACTCAACAACAAAAAATAACATAAGAAACTCAAAGAAAGTTGGTAGAATTTGAATAGAAGAGAGCATATGATTGTAC